AAGATTTATAATCCCACTCCTTACATTACAGAGAAGGCTGAGGAGGGAAGTGACTTGCCCGAGGTCCCAGGACCCTCCAGGAGAGACAGAACTACCCTCAAGTTGCCCTAACCTCAACCCTAGAACTATTTCGGTCACATCACGCCACCTCCTGCTCTCCCCTCTCCCATCTATCCCCACTCTGACAGCTGCCTGCTCAACAGACTGTTGTCAGAATGGTGAATGCTGTGGCTGGGGGCTTTGACAGGTAGACGGCTAAGTCCAACAGCTTTGACAGGTAGACGGCTGCCTCAGGACTACAGACTCAGCCTTTGGAGTGTGACTAAAATCTTCTCACTTAGTAGTCACAGGCGATTCTGATTAAATGTCAAGGCTGGACTTCCCTGGTGGCTCAGATGGTAAAGAAACTGCCCACAATGTGGGAGACCTGGCTTCTATCCCTGGGTTGTGACGATCCCCTGGAAGAGGGCATGGCAACCCACTCCAGTATTCTTTCCTGCAGAAACCCACAGACAGAGGAGCCTGGTGGGCTACAGATCATGGGGTCACAAAGAGTTGGACACAACTAAGTGACTAAGCACAGCACAGTCTACCCTTGAAAGAACAAAACATAAAAGTAAAAGTTTTGTAGAACAACTATACCCCCTTATCAGTGAGAAGAATAGAAGAAACCCAAATAATTCTAAGGTCTTACAGAAAATAATATAATTCTGGACTGAGCTCCTCAGCTAGATGCTCTATTCTCTTTCTGATCCTCCCGAAGATACCAGAGGTTGGGGAGGGAAGGCCCCAGAACGGTCACACTGAGGCAGTAGTTGAATTGCAAATAGAAGCTGAGAGAATATTCTCTTCAACCTTCTGTTCAAACCTGCGAACCCTGAGACTTGACCCACATAGTCCATTTTGACTGTTTTGGAATAAAAATGAAAAATTCATAGACATGAGGGAATATTATCGTCCTCTCAATCATCTGATTTAAAACCTTCTTTATTCGATAGGATACATTCAAAGCAGGTTAGTGGCTGAGCCTTCAGCACACGCGAGGCAAAAAGGCAAAACACATCGCTTTCTGAGTCTCTTGGTAAATGATGAGTCCTCAATGGTTTTGGATTAAAGGACTGCCTGGGCAAAGGGCAGTGTGCCCAGTCAAAATGTGTGCATGTGTTTTGTGAATAATCATATGACCTTGCCTGTTTTAGGTTTTTTCTTTTTACCATGGAGTTTACAAAGTACTTTTATCTCCATTTTCTCATCAAATTTTTACAGACAGTCTGTGATGAAGGCACTGTAATTTCATCCTGAAAATGAGGAAACTGAGGTTCTGAAAAGTTCTGACTTGCCCATAGTCATGTGGTCAGTAAGTATCAGAAAGGTCTAAATCCTGAGTTCCTTGTCATCCTTGTCAAGTTCAGGATGTGTCTGTCTCACCACAGTAGTGTATCCACAGTGGGCAGGACAGGGGAGTCCCCACATTAGTCTGCATTTGTTTTTAGTACTTGGATTGACTATAGTAATCTTTGGGTTAAGCTGTAGGTATAGCACAAGGTCTGCAGAGTCTAAATACCTCACTTGTGCCATGCATGGGCATATAGGATACATATATGATTTCTTAACCTCAAAAAATATTTTAAACTCAGAAGTATCTCACATTAACTTAGATTTTACCTGAGCTGCAACTCCTCCTCCCAATATAGCAGAAAGGTTTCCAATGAGCAAATTGGAGGAAAGGAAATTTGCTTCAGTTGGGTCAATGTAGGATAACATTTAAATAGTTTCACCACCTATGGGAAGTCGATGATAGTCAGTGTGTAAGAATGATGTAAGAGTTAATAAGACCAAAAGACTTTCCAGTTTAACACACTGTACCTTTCAACAAAACAAGAATGCTGGATTTTCTAGACACCTGGAAACATGTTTAACCTGTTTAGTGATGCAGAAAACCAGGTAACTATATGCAGAGTGGCCAAACATCTCAGCCACCTGAACCAAGACACACGACAAAGCTTTGTATTTGAAGCCCCCCGCATCTCTTTTTGTGTCCCTCTTCCCCATCTTTAAAGTCACTCTCTTTTCCAGGCACAGTATGACCTGTAAACATAATCTTCCACAGGATCACCCTCAATGTAATTCCCCAAATGCATCTAAAATATATACTTGTTCATTACTGGCAGAGGTGCCATCTCCTGGGATAGAAATCTACACATATTCACCTAGTGAAATTCTTCATGATATATTGAGTCCTGATGGGGAAATTAAAGCATCACCTAAGGTTGAGAAGTGAGGAGGGGCATATATTTGGTGAAGACTGCTGCCTTTCCCAAACCTCTCAAATTTCTGAGGGTTCTGTCGACCTCTAATTTCAGAGTGGCTCACATTACCTCCTAGAACTTTCTTCTAAAAGAGACCAAAACTCTACTGAATTATACTGTGAAAAGATCCATCGACTTTAGCCTGTTTGCTTAATTCTCCCCAATGTATTTTCATTTGTAACTAGATGTTTCTAAAGTCAACCACATTTTAATGATATAGCAACTTTGGGATTTCACAACTAAGGCTTGTTGATTCACATAGCTCAGGCAGAATTTATGCAGCTGACCCTTCCTTTTTAGAACTGATTTATTTTTTTCAGGGACAAATGTCATAAAGAATATTTAGGTGTGAAATGTGTATTTGCCATTCATTTATACTATAAAATTAGAGATGAGGGAGTCACAGGAGGTCACTGATGTTTTCTATACTCTTCTTTCACTTAGGCTAATCAATTCCTTTTCGCTTTACTTCCTCTTGCCCAACTTAGAGCTGAAGGTGGACTCTTTAACCATACTACACTAGTACCTTCAAAATCTTCTACCGCTTTTGTTTCTACCTCATTTTCTCTGATGGTCCCCAGATCTGGATTAAACCATCTGTTCACATTTCCATACACAGCCTTCCTAATGAATGGTGCTGGATAGGTCATTTAACTTCTCAAGCTTCAGTCTGCTCTGTTTGAAGAACAATATGATAGTATGCATTTCAAGTAGTTGTTAAAGAGATTGAATTTATGTACATAACAGTATTTTACCAACTGTAAAGTGCCATGCAAATGTGTTTTCTTCTATGGTTTTTACTCATATATTTTTTTATTTGTGGACTAAGCACAGTGCCATTATGTTGTCTCGCAGAAATGCCTGCTTCCACAAAATGCCACATCTATTTATTCTTGTGGATTTATGACTTCCTGAATAGCTATTACTGGAGCCAAACTGGACCAGACCTCGAGTCCCAACTCCACCATTTACTAGCAGTATAATCATGGCATAGTCTCCCCATGATTTCAATTATTCTTCTATAAAGAGGGAAGAAGAGATGCTGTTGGTTTGAGGTTTAAAATGAAATAATGCAGAAGGCTAATAATATTTATTTATGATCATCATAATTTAATTATTACATTACAGAGAGTATGTGAGTTAGAAAAATGACAAATACTCTTTGTGCGTGTCCACTGGGTACCATCATGTGAAGAGTTACCCAGGCAGGAGACAGAAGACTGCCAGCAGTGAGGCTTGATGCACTTCAGGGTATGGAAGAAACCCAAGACCAATTACAACCCACCTGAATACCAACTCCCACTATAGCCATGTTCTCATTTCCATGCCAGCAAAATTATTTCAATGTGGCTACCCTGGAGCACAAAGAGTCTCAGCAAGGACCCCTTAAATAGATATGGAAGCTATCTATTTAAGAGTTTAAGCAGTATATAATACATATCATATATATCCATAAATACATTCACATGCAGTGGGAAAGAATATTTTCTTTGGCACTTGGCAGAAGGCCAGTTGAGAAGGCAATCATAAACTGCTTTGTAGCATTAAGTGAATTAATGTTAATTAAGTAACATTAAATAAGAGAATAGGAATGTTCTCTTGTGGTCTATAACCTAATTAGGAAAGCAATAGCTACCATTTGGTGATTTCCTGGGCCCAGAAGCTGTGCTATTTCACATGCATTCTAACTAAGCTGTAAATCTCTTTTCAATAAGACACGTAACCTCATTTTACAGATGAGGAAACTGAGGCATAGAAAGATTGAGTAAAGAATCTAGATGATAATTTGAAAAATTTTGGTGGTGAGCTTCAAAATAGTGTCTTCACCACCTATAATGCCAGTGTCCTTTCCACTACAGGGTGATGCCTTCACAGGAAGTTCTCATGTCTTGCATGGTTAGGCCTCTTAGCAACAGTTGTCATTGGGCCAATACAAGAAACAACAGGTTTGATCCCTTAGTCGGGAAGATCCCCTGGAGAAGGAAATGGCTGCTCACTTCAGTATTCTTGCCTGAGAAATCCCATGGACATAGGAGCCTGGCGGGCTACAGTCCATGGGGTTGCCAAAAAGACAGAAATAACTTAGCAACTAAACAAAAACAAAAATCCTTCCTCTGCTCTTTATTTTATTTATAACTCTCTCCAACAAAAGTGCACAAGAAAATTATCATATAGATAGATGGATACATAGAGAGATGATGTGTGCATGCTCAGTCACTTCAGTCATGTCGGACTTTTTGCAATCCTATGGACAGTGGCCAGCCATGCTCCTATGTCCATGGAATTCTCCAGGCACGAATACTGGAGTGGGTTGCCATGCCCTTCTCCAAGGTAGATGATAGAGAAACATAAAGAAATAGATAGATGATGGATGGATGGATGGATAGGTAGGTAGATAGATGATTGATAGATAGATAAACTTGAGTGTATGTGTATTTACGCACAATTGCACCTTGTGGATTATTTTTAGAGGACTTACAACAAGAAACATTTATTTTCTCATAGTTCTAGAGCCTAGGAGGGCACCAGCGGCTTGGATTTCTGTGAGGCCTCTTTCCTCAACTTATAGAGAGTCACCTCTCTCTGTGTCCTCAGAGAGAGAGAGAGAGAGCTCCATTTCTGCTCTCCTCCTTTTACACCTTGTGGATCTTGTTGGCACACCTTTTGTGCTTTGCTTGTATTCTGGCCCAGGTGTGCAGAGCAACTTGTTCACAACAACCTCCCAACCACCAGTGTCATCATGTGCTTTGTGGATGAGGTGTGGTCCACTCTCCTGAGGTCTGTACATAGCGTCCTCAACCGCTCTCCTCCCCACCTCATCAAGGAGATTCTACTGGTGGATGACTTCAGCACCAAAGGTAAGAAAATTACCCCCCTGGAAAATCAAAGTTTGATGTGAGCTGATAACAGTTTGGATACAAAAATTACAGGATAATTTGATAAGGAATGAATGTTTTATAAATGCCCAATCATTATTTGATATTGTGGCTCAGAGGCCTAAGTCCAAACATCTGTGGATTACAGAAAGTCAGCTCAACCATCCATGGCCTTGTCCAGCTAGTCACCGCAGACTCTCCTTCAGCTATGACTTCTCTGCTGTGTAGGAGTGATTTTCTAATTACAGGTCTTTGGAGATGGGTACTTTGAGGTCCTGAAGACCAGAAGATGTTCTCCACAATTGCATAAATACCTTTTTATGAAATCTAACAAGCAAAGATGCCACAATTAACAGAGTTAGTTATGAAAGACAATGACATGTAAGCCCTACGACTTCTACTTTATTATATGTTCAGCAAAGAGTTGAGAAGACAAGTTGCCAATGGGACCAGAAAAATGAGGTTCCAACAGAGTTGAAAGGCAGGATTCACCACTGTCTTTACTTTTGTTTTGCTTATTACAGTGAAGAGTCTCTCTCTTTGGACTGTTAAAAACTGGGTATGTAAGAGGTTCCATGACTGCCAAAGGTCCTAGACCACATTACAAAAATCCCCAAATGCAACCCACTTCAGAAAAATTTACAAAGTAGCAAAGAGACAGCAACCTTAATAGTACACTTTAGCCTTGGTCATGACATTAAGGACACGAGTCAGTTCTCAGTTCTGTCTCTTAGAGTGCCTACCAGGGTCACACTGAGCTTCAGGAGCAGGGAGATACGTAAGGAAAACTGGCTGAAAACTTCGAGAAGTGGTCTTGACAGCATCAACAGAAATAGAATCTAGTTACCAAGCAGGTAACAGTCCCTTTAGGAATGGCCTATTCAGATTTTGTGGCCCTGAAGGATCTATGAGGTCCTCTTTAAGAGAAAGATGACTCAATTAGTAGAAAAGTGAGCAGCAGAAGTATTCACAGAAGCCATTCCTATCTGGGATATGTCAATAGCTTAATCATACACAGAAGTAACTGTAAGCTACAGAAATATACACCCCCCAAAAGAGCAAGAGAGCAGAGGTGTGATGGAGAGGGTGTCATAGTAGGAAGCGACAATGGTCTTAGCCAATTGCAGCTGCAATATCTTTCTTTTGCAAATTTTTCAATTTGCATACAATGCATAGTCTCTCTCTTAGGTCTTAGAAGAGGACTTTACAAGGGGAAAAGTTTGTGCAGAAACTGAGCTTCATTTATTTCAAGGTAAATTTGTACCTGTCCTGACAAATTCTCAGAAAAAGTAAGCCCTCCTCTTGGTTGCTCACCTACACTGAAAGGTGGATTTGAGTTTTAGAAAAACAGAAACTTGGACTATTGAACCGAGACAAAAATCCATCTAAGAAAATGACATCATGGCTCAAAGAATAAAATATAGTGACTTTTATATAATAAATGTCATAGTTTTGGGAATTTGATCTGGTCTTATCCAGATCTTATTTTAAAAGTATTTCCTTGTCTATTTTCTCCCTGATATAGACTACCTAAAAGATAACTTGGATAAATACATGTCTCAGTTTCCAAAAGTTCGAATTCTTCGCCTCAAAGAGAGACATGGCTTAATAAGAGCCAGGCTGGCAGGGGCACAAAAGGCAACAGGTAAGAAGCTGCTAATTTTTTTATTCTGGCTACATCTTTATTTTAGTTTAATCTTTTCCAAATACACATCAAATTTGAAATAATAGTACAATGAGCACTCCTATGTCCATCATTTTATTCCACCAGTTTCTAACTTTTTGCAATATGTATCCCACTAAATTGTTTTAATGACTCACTGAGGGATCACAACTCTGAAAAACACCAGCTAGGTGCATTTTAATTACTTGCCACTATTCAGTAGAGGGCATATTCCCAAACTATCATAGAAGGACTTTCTTTTTCCTAATTAACATTGTTGTGGACCCCTTTATAAATGATAATAAAAATGAATTACCTAAAAAAGAAATGGGAAAAATATATAGCTATACATACAATTATATATACATATATCTAGATATAAACATAATTACATATATGTGGGTATGTGTCTGTTTTAACACTCATATATATGAAGTAGACAACAAATTAACATATTACTCTGGCAAGCTGCTGTGAAGTTTCAAGGCATGTGTTCTCAATTTCTGTCCCTGTCTCCCTATGGATGGCAGTGTCTATGACCCACAGGTAGAGCAGCAATAATGGAGGGCTAATTTCTGAGTTTGGAAAGAAGCAGAAAGATCTATTTGAATTGGGTTAGTAATAGACTCATCTAAGGATAAATCCAGTGGCCCTAAAGTTCACCTGAACCCTGTGGGGAGTTTAAGGAAATTCAGGGTCCTGCACCAGCTTTAGTTCCATTCAGTCCAGTCGCTCAGTCCTGTCCGATCTTTGCAATCCCATGAACCACAGCACACCAGGCCTCCCTGTCCATCACTAGCTCCCAGAGTTCACCCAAACTCATGTCCATTGAGTCAGTGATGCCATCCAACCATCTCATACTCTGTCGTCCCCTTCTCCTCCTGCCCTCAATCTTTCCCAGCATCAGGGTCTTTTCAAATGAGTCAGCTCTTTGCATCAGGTGGCCAGAGTATTAGAGTTTCAGCTTCAACATCTGTCTTTCCAATGGACACCCAGGACTGATCTCCTTTAGGATTGACTGGTTTGATCTCCTTGCAGTTCAAGGGACTCAAGAGTCTTCTCCAACACCACAGTTCAAAAGCATCAATTTTTCAGCACTCAGCTTTCTTTATAATCCAACTGTCACATCCATACATGACTACTGAAAAAACCATAGCCTTGACTAGATAGACCTTTGTTGGCAAAGTAATGTCTCTGCTTTTTAATATGCTGTCTAGGTTGGTCATAACTTTTCTTCCAAGGAGTAAACATCTTTTAATTTCATGGCTGCAGTCACCATCTGCAGTGATTGTGGAGCACAGAAAAATAAAGTCTGACACTCTTTCCCCATCTATTTGCCATGAAGTGATGGGACCAAACTCCATGATCTTAGTTTTTTGAATGTTGAGCTTTAAGCCAACTTTTTCACTCTCCTCTTTCACTTTCATCAAGAGGCTCTTTAGTTCTTCTTAACTTTCTGCCATAAGGGTGGTGTCATCTGTATATCTGAGGTTATTGATATTTCTCCCAGCAATCTTGATTCCAGCTTGTGCTTCTTTCAGCCCAGTGTTTCTCATGATGTACTCTGCATATAAGTTAAATAAGCAGGGTGACAATATACAGCCTTGACGTACTCCTTTTCCTATTTGGAACCAGTCTGTTGTTCCATGTCAGTTCTAACTGTTGCTTCCTGATCTGCATATAAGTTTCTCAAGAGGCAGGTCAGGTGGTCTGGTATGCCCATCTCTTTCAGAATTTTCCACAGTTTATTGTGATCTACACAGTGAAAGGCTTTGGCATAGTCAATAAAGCAGAAATAGATGTTTTTCTGGAACTCTCTTGCTTTTTCGATGATCCAGTGAATGTTGACAATTTGATCTGTGGTTCCTCTGCCTTTTCTAAAACCAGCTTGAACATCTGGTAGTTCATGGTTCACATATTGCTGAAGTCTGGCTTGGAGAATTTTGAGCATTACTTTACTAGCGTGTGAGATGAGTGCAATTGTGTGGTAGTTTGAGCATTCTTTGGCATTGCCTTTCTTTGGGATTGGAATGAAAACTGACCTTTTCCAGACCTGTGGCCACTGCTGAGTCTTCCAAATTTGCTGACATATCGAGTGCAACACTTTCATAGCATCATCTTTTAGAATCTGAAATAGCTCAACTGGAATTCCATCACCTCCACTAGCTTTGTTAATAGTGATGCTTCCTAAGGCCCACTTGACTTTGCATTCCAGGATGTCTGGCTGTAGGTGAGTGATCACACCATCATGGTTATCTGGTTCATGAAAATCTTTTTTGTATAGTTCTTCTGTGTATTCTTGCCACCTCTTCTTAATATCTTCTGCTTCTGTTAGGTCCATACCATTTCTGTCCTTTATTGAGCCCATCTTTACATGAAGTCTTCCCTTGGTGTCTCTAATTTTCTTGAAGAGATCTCTAGTCTTTCCCATTCTATTGGCTTCCTCTATTTCTTTGCACTGATTACTGAGGAAGGCTTTCTTATCTCTCCTTGCTATTCTTTGGAACTCTGAATTCAGATGCTTATATCTTTCCTTTTCTCCTTTGCTTTTCATTTCTCTTCTTTTCGCTGCTATTTGTAAGGCCCCCTCAGCCATTTTGCCTTTTTGCATTTCTTTTTCTTGGGGGTGGTCTTGATCCATGTCTCCTGTACAATGTTAGCGAAGGCTGTAATTCAGGGACCATTCAGGGCCCACACTGAGCAGGCTGACCAGCCTAGTGAGTCCTCCCAAGCTCCCCTGGGCACTCTCCAGCCCTCACAGGTCGAGTACAGGCAGTAGGTGGCTCTGGATCTGAAGAGTCTCTGTAATCAAAGATCTGCATTCATGCCACTGCAGAATTTTTCTGGAATGCATAACCAAGCAAAGAGATCAAAGATAAGAATCTGAATCCAGAATCTGATAGGCCTTGAGCTACTGGTTTATCCTTTAGGATTCAGGGAAAAGAGAAGAGGAACCACAGGGAGGTTGAGATCAGCTAGTAAAGGCCATGCAGAAGCAGAAGTTGAGTTGGCCCTGTTTTGGTCTCAGAGTACTATCAGGCTCTCGGAGAGTCTTTTAGAGTCTTCCACAAAGAAATAAGGGCAAATCTATAACTCTATAACTTCAAGCAGTGTCCACATTCAGGCTCCAGGGCATGATAGATTCTCTTGATCTGATTCAGTTATCAGTTGTTTACTCTGAATGAGAAGTTAGGTCAAGCAGTATTTCAAAAATTAAAAGACAGGCCTTGGTCAGTGGGTCTGAAGGGAAAGTCTTCTACATAAAGGCAACAGAAGTAAAAATAAATGAGGTAATTTGGATACAAAGAACAAGCCAGATATCATGATAGTGTTGAACACACCAAGTCAATTATAACCCTGACGAGAGCAGCCTGCAGGTGGGCAGGTTTAATAGTGCTCTGATTCTGGAGGGTCGGAGTAGAGATCAGATTCTCATTTCCTATATAACATGGCAGTTAGCAAAATAGCTGTAATGCTATGAGCATTCCAAAGAATCAGTTGGCTAATTTTAAATGTATGGACATCAAGTGACATCTAACTTCTGGCCAATGCTGACATTCTCTGAAGAGCAACAGTCCTTTTATAAATTTCTACAACTTGCTTCTTCTGCAGGTCAAACAGGTAGCTTCCTTAGCATCACTTATAAATCATTCTTTAAAATTAACTGGGCAGCAGGTCCACATTCATTACGGAACTCTAAACACAACACTGTCACCAACTGGTGCTAAAGCAGTATCCTAAGCTGGTCAGCTAAATCTAAGGGGGATCAGTTCTCAACAAGGAGCCAAAGCTATTTGGCACATTGAGCATGTCTGAGTTGGCACAAAAAAATTGAAAACTAAGTAAGTTACCACCAAACCATCTGCACACAATCCAGTATGTCTGGAATCTACTCTCAGAACAACCTTCCAGGTAGTTATCAATATGGAGTTAGTTATTTTGAGCTGTATCCTGAACAATCATTGAAAACCAGTCATCATAATAGCTATCTATTAGGAATCTAGGTATTAGGTATACTCTAGAAATATCTCCATAAGGCAAAGCTCAAAGAGATTAAGTAATTGATCCAATGAGGCCAAGAAAAGCCAAGCTATGATGAAGGGAGTTCTGGAGAGATTCAGTCCTATGTCATTTCACCATGCCCAAAATGGGGGAATAAATGCAGATTTGAGGATCCATCTTGCTGCCACTGAGGACTGAAGAAGTAGATCCAGACCTTTGACCCAGTCAACCTGCCATGGAGATAGGGAAAGGCAATCTAGTAGAGACTAGACTTTTTAAACCCCCGGACTGAATGGACCAGGAGTAGGAGTGGTGAGAGAAAGAAGACAGACTTTCATAGATTCTATGCCGCTAGACCATTTGTGCTTAGTTGCTCAATCATGTCTGACTCTTTGCAACCCCATGGACTGTAGCCCACCAGGCTCCTCTGTCCATGGGGATTCTCCGGGCAAGAATACTAGAGTGGGTTGCCATGCGCTTCTCCAGGGGTCTCCTCAACCCAGGGATGAAACCCAGGTCTCCTGCATTGTAGGCAGATTCTTTACCATCTGAGCCACCAGGGAAGCCCAGTAGGACTAAGCAAACATACTTGTATACCCTATACACATAGATGAACCCTAAAAGCCTTCCCAGGATAAGGAGAGGTTATGCAAGAGGGCACCCTTAGGAAACTATAGCTTCCATTATCAAGCAATCCATAACTCCTGGAAAATAGGACCCTCCCCTGCCCCAATCCCAGCATAATCAGGAGATGTATGCACCTCCAAGAGTAGTGGATGAGATGGGGAGGGGGCTTCTGGCTAGCACAGCCTGTTCTTATCTAAAGAGACATCTCAAGACCCCTTCCCATCAAGACTTTGGCTAAGGTTAGTCCCTTCACCTTTATGCAAAAATTCCATTGTTAATCAGGTAATTAGTAAGATCTATTCATTAAGAAGTAGTTTAGAGATTTCAGTAGATAATAATCTATCATCCAGGTATTTATTTGCATCTTTCTGTTTGCCTGTTGCTATCTTCTGCTTTTACTTTAAGCTTTCCCATACTCATAGCTCTGTCTCTTTCTCATTTGCTGGGAGTGGGAGGGGAGAGGCAAGAGGGTGTATGCAGATATTTTCTAGTACCAGGCTACCACATAGCTTTGCAAACTTGGCAAAGTTGCCTAAGTGTTTCATTCCTCTTAAATGTGGATAAAACTTAGACCTATACTTCAGGTTTGTCACAAGGATAAACCTTAAATAAGAAAATCATTCAGAATGTTCAGAACAGTATCTGGCACAGAGTAAGCATCAAATCAAAAATCAGTGATGTTATTGTAGGTTTTTCAGATGCTGAGGGGTGTAGCTAAGAGTCAGAGTGGTCAATTAAAACAACAAACCAAAATAAAAGTAACAGTCAAGTCTTCAAGCATTTCCTGCAATCCCATAAGTAAAAAGCATAGGTAGGAAGCCAGACAGAAGACAACACTGACTCCCCCAGTGTTCAGTATTTTCCCAAGGAAGAATGGGCTGGTGGATCAGAGCAGATGTGTAGATCATCTTACTGACCAAATAGCCTGAAATAAGGTTCCTCCTGTTTTAGAGCCTGGGGGCCAGGATGAGAGAAAGGGGGAAGGGCTAGTAGTAAGAAAAAAAATGTCCTGAAGATCTACCCATCATCCACAAGGTGAGAAAGAAGTCTTGGCCTGAGACAGTCTCCAACTGGGTGAACCTGGGTCAGGAATGCAGTTCTTTATAAGTGCATGTCCAGCTAAGGGGGCTGGAGGACCTGAGTCCTTGACTGTATCTTCCTTCAGAGACTCTAGGGCACAAGCTATGAACCAAGCCTGGTGTGGAAATGGCAGCTTTGCATCAAGAGGCCTGCCAGGTAAAGCTTTTGTAATAGCTTTGGGCCTCAGCTTCCCAGGTGGCGCTAGTGGTAAAGAACCTGCCTGCCAATGCAGGAGACAAGAGAAGTGAGTTCAGTCCCTGGGTCAGGAAGATTCCCTGGAGAAGGGCATAGCAACCCACTCCAGTATTCTTGCCTGAAGAATCCATGGACAGAGGAGCCTGGTGGGCTACAGTCCATAGGGTTGCACAGAGTTGGACACAACTGAAGCAACTTAGCATGCATGCATGCACAACTGGGTCTGAGATTACACATAGGATTCTGGCCAGGACCCAGATTCCTCTGGTTATTATTCACACACATACAATCCACTTGTACAGAATCATTTAGAACAATGTAGACCACTGCTAAGATTTTCATTGGAGAGTGTTACTTCACACAACTAATAGAACAAAAAGAATTCAAAATTATTCCTGTCTTCCAAGTTTCTTTTCTCTTCTCTTCTCCTGTAACTCTTTTTTTTTAATTATGATAAAATACATATATAAAATTTACTATCTGAGCCATTTTTCAAGTGTACAGTTCACTGCGAAGTACTTTCACATTGTTGAGCAACCAATCTCCAGCACTCCTTTCATCTTGTGAAACTAAACTCTACACCCATTAAACAATTCCTTGTTCCCCCTCTGTAACACTTTTAAAACTACCTCCTAGTCTTACTAGTTCCCCCACTTTAATTTCTTTTCTCTGTTATAATATGGAACGAATTTTCCTCTCATCATTTCTAAGGCTTAAGTTGGAATCTCAGATTCTTCCTAGTCTTCCGCAAAACAAAGTTTCAGACCTCTACCCCCAAGAGTTAATGGGATTTACCCTTCTTAGAAGGACAAAAGCAACTACCTTTAATGCTAAATATTCCCTTCAGAGCCTTGACTCCTCATTCTAAGTGGCTTATCAATTTTTTTCAACCATAAATGATACTTGCCCCAAAAGACTACTAGAAACCAACTTTTTTTCATTTCACTATAGAATGAAATTGAGAGACAAAGAAGAAATTCAGTAAGAAGAAAAGACTACTATGCTTACAACCACATTTATGGAGCAATCTTCAGGACCTATGAACACGAAGTACACACATTAAGTATATTGCATTTTCAAATTGTTTTTTTCTGGCTCTCTAGGTGATGTGTTGACATTCTTAGATTCTCACGTGGAATGTAACGTTGGCTGGTTGGAACCTCTCCTGGAAAGAGTTTACTTAAGTAGAAAGAAAGTAGCCTGTCCAGTAATTGAAGTCATCAATGATAAGGATATGAGGTAATAATTGTCATACTGCACAGGATACTTCTAAGTGGCTTTTTAACCAGCAGCAGAAGGCAGTGGTCATACTCCTAAAATGTACAACTTTGCAAATCTAAGTAATACACAGTTTACCTGTTTAAATAAATTGAAATACTTGATATATATCATGATATCAAAGCAGATCTATCCAATTGTTTATTTGATCATCACAAATTCTTAACCCTAAATGTCAATAAATACTAATATTCAGTGTCCAGGACTTTCCTCTTTCTATTCAGCTGAATACCCAAATATTTATTTTTAAGATTAGTTCTTCTTTTTGTGTATGTATACATACACATGTATATTCTTAAGTAGGGTTTTTTTCCCTCAAAATGGCCAGAATATTATTAAAACAAAAGGATGTTAAAAGCAAGCAATCCAGCACTAATGCTAATTATATTCATATCTTTCATTGAAATGTTATTAAAAGCTTTGTGGTGATCTAAAATCATCTTCATAAGTGCTTGTTTCATTCACTTGCACAACACATGATGTCAGGTTGATTATGTGAATGATCTCAGGTAGCATTTTTTTTTCCTTGACTAGTTACATGACAGTGGACAACTTTCAAAGAGGCATATTTGTGTGGCCAATGAACTTTGGTTGGAGAACGATTCCTCCAGACGTTGTTGCAAAAAACAAAATTAAAGAAACTGATATAATAAGGTAAGTATGTGAAACTTAAGACTAGGAAGGAGTCACGTATCTTCTTACAAAGGCATAGGAAGCAATTCCACAAAAGAGGCATAAGCCATCATTTGTAGAACACCAAGAATTACAGTTCTAGCCAACAGATGACCAAAAGCAAAAACTTTTCCTAGGAAATTACTTTCCCACGGCCCAAACTCCCCTTTTAGTTATACCTTATTCAGCCCTCAACCCAAGAAATTCACTGACACTATTTCTGTTCTCTGAGATTTGCAAACAAAGAAACGTAAGCCACTAAAATGTGCTGCATAAATTCTATATAAACACATATAACACTGAAGTAAACGTGAGTGAAAATTAAGAATAAATAATAGTAGTAGAAATATCATTCTAATTCTTTTTGAGTCTAATCCTATACTTTCCCTGGGAGGAGTGCCAAGTTCTGTGAATAAAGTGAGAAACAGACACAGAAGCTAGATGCGAATTAAAGTTGGGGCTTTATTGCTGGAGAAACTGGATTAAAGAACAGATTTTAGACCTCAAGCTAAAGTGGGGGCTTCCTAACGCCTCCCCCAAAGTCTAGACCTGTAGGACAAGCACTCTGCCAGACTCAGGCAGAGCAGCAGGAACCCTGGAGCTTTCCTTGTCAGAAAAAGAACTTGAGCAGACTTCAGCCAGAAAGTCCCAAAAGAAAGTCCGAGCCCAGCCTATATACAATGCAGCATCCGTTCCCTTAACTCACCCCTCCAAGCAGTGCCTTATATTCTTCCAAATGTGATGTTTCACAATTGATACTCCTAACAAGTGAAGGAAGAGTACGACCATTTATTAAGCACTGTGCAACCTCTCTATAACTCTAGGAGAGAGATTGTGGTTTTTTCCATTATAGAGATAAGGAAATAGAGACCTAAGAGAGTTAAGTAATTTTCCTGGGGATATTTGTTGCTGTTGTTCAGTCACTAAGTTATATCCAACTCTTTGCAACCCCGTGGACTGCAGCACACCAGGCTTCCCTATTCATCACTGTCTCCCGGAGTTTGCTCAAATTCACATCCATTTAGTTGGTGATGTCGTCCAACCATCTCATCCTCTGCCACCTTCTTCTCCTTTTGCCTTCAATCTTTCCCAGCACTGGGGCTCTTTCCAATGTGTTTGGCTCTACAAGTGGCCAAAGTATTGGAGCTTCAGCTTCAGCATCAGTCCTTCCAGTGAATATGAAGGGTTGATTGATTTCCCTGCAGTCCAAGTGATACACAGCTTGCAAAGGAAGAAATTGGGATTCAAACCCAAATCTGCCTGCATATAATATACTTGCTCTGATCCTACACCTAAAGAACCTCTTTGTCTTTTTCAGAAGCCAATTCTGAGAGTCAATGTAGTGACTGAGTTCAGATTTATTCAACATAATGTTAGAAAGAGAATGCATTCTGGATAGTCTGGAAAGGACATTTGGGACACAGATAAAAAAATACACATAAATCATGGGGGAAGAGAGCTAGGTATGGGGCAAGGTTTACGTTACCGTTGAGATTGCTACAGAGCTTCCATACAAACCTCTTTCAGCTGGCCCCATGGCAACCACCATGGGACATGATTACTGCCTTTTCTAACTGCTGACTCAAGTGTAGTTTCTCTTCCCCATGATCAATAACAGCAGTGAAGACTCTAGAGTCAGACCCCTTGGGTTTAAATCTCAACTCTACTATGTACTAGTGGTGTGAGCTTTAAAAAGTTACTTAACCTCTTTCTATCTCGGTTTCTTCATTTTTATATTAACACTAACAGAAGTAGCTACCTCTTGGATTGTTTTGAGAATTAAATCAGATAATACTATATATAAAATGTTTTAAAAAGTATTTGCCAAGAACTTCCCTGATGGTCCAGTGGTTAAGCCTCCAAGCTCCCAGTGCAGGGTTCCATCCCTGGTCAGGGAACTAAGATGCCACAGCCCTGCAGCTCAGCCAAGGGGAGAAAAAAAAAAATATATATATATATATATATACACACATAAGTGTTGGCCACATAACAAGCTGTTGTAACGTTTCTGTATTGTTGAGGCAGTATAGTGGAGAAGAGATCTTAGAGCCAAGGCAGACTCCCTAAATTTGAACCCCAGATGTACAGCCCACAGACTGGTTGGTCTGTGAACTTTGGAAATTTCCTTGCCTTTTGGGGCTGTAGTTTCTTAGGGATACATACTCACAGGATTTTTGTAAGGCCTGAGTTAATACATCTCTAACAGTTAAAACAGTGCCTGACTCTTCTTTCTTAAATAGCACTAAATACCTTATTAAAAATGACATCTCTGGAGAATTTGTGTTGAATTGGCCTTGAAGTCAAGGCCAAGTAAGAATCCTAGTTCCAGACCCTGTCTTTGCTGACTCTAATCAAGTTCTGCCACAAGGACCAGGGAACTTGTCACTTAGGTGCTCTTTGTGACTTTATCCAAGACCTCCCTACATGCAGTAACTATTCTAAAATGCCTCTTATTAAGGAACACTCCCTAAAAGTTGAGTTCCCCTGACATGAAAGATTTAAAAACCAACTTTTCTTTTTGTAGATGTCCCGTCATGGCAGGTGGATTATTTTCTATTGATAAAAATTACTTTTTTGAACTTGGAACATATGATCCTGGGCTCGATGTTTGGGGTGGAGAAAATATGGAGCTCTCTTTCAAGGTACCACTGAGTGTTTCTCAAATTATCTTTACAATTAAGAGTCTAGCGCTTTTAAATGGTTTCATTTTACTAATACAATCAGATATGTGACTGCCTCTGGGAGGAACCTTCACAGAAATATTAGGGCCTCTGGATTAATGTCTTCATACCCCAGATTGAATTTGGAAGAATCAATAACTCTCATGAAATTTATTAGCATTCCCTCATATTTCACAACGCAGTTTCTGCATCTGAATGTGAGGGAAATAATTGTCTGCCATTTAGTGTAAATGCTGTGGGATGAATATTTGATACAAATAACTCATATATTTTTCTAATATATTAGAAGTAATGAAATTATTTAGTAATAGGCCATCTTGGAGAGTACAAGACAGAAGAATAAAAAGAGCCACTAGAGCAGGCCACCAAAAGGCCATACTACAGCAACTTAGGGAAGCTCAGATAATGCTGGATATTTATATAACCATTTAATATCTGAGAAATCAGTGGCTATAGCCATAGTGCAGAGTATTCACATTACCTGCTTTCCTGTGGAGTTGGGTGTATATAGTAATAGGGGTGTGACTCTGAGCTCTTGATCAACAAAGGAGGTCTTCAAGTTGTGTTCCACAAGTCAGGTAGATCATCCCAAATGTGAGAAGGGGATATTGAGAAAATTGAAACATATACTCTTTACCTTGATTCTACTAAAGCAAGACCATGTGTTACACATTTCATACTTTGGGATTCTGTGAGGATTTCTTTAGGGGGGAAAAAAAGATTTACAATTCAGGAGAGGAAAAGAGAAAATATATCATTTAATAATCCTAAAATGGTTCACAGCAATAGAATAAAATTAAATAAACCTGTTGAGTTTAATTTTCTGTTGAAAAGGATATTAGAAAAGTATTACTCCAACAGGGGGAAAAAGTCCCCAGGTGGTTTTTTTGTTATTGTTAATTGCCAATGATTTGTGGACAATCATTTGATAACTGGTACCTATTTTTAAACTGTTGCAGGTGTGGATGTGTGGTGGCGAAATTGAGATCATTCCCTGTTCCCGAGTGGGACACATATTCCGAAATGACAATCCCTACTCCTTCCCCAAAGACCGGATGAAGACGGTGGAGCGGAACTTGGTGCGGGTGGCTGAGGTCTGGCTCGATGAATACAAGGAGCTCTTCTACGGCCACGGGGATCACCTCATAGACCAAGGGTTAGACGTCGGAAACCTTACCCAACAGCAGGAACTTCGAAAGAAGCTAAAATGCAAAAGCTTCAAGTGGTACTTGGAGAATGTTTTTCCAGACTTGAAGGCTCCCATTGTGAGGGCGAGTGGTGTGGTAAGTTCAAGCAGCAACTTCAGATCTGACTTTGTGAAAATACAAGGTAAAAACCTTTTTGAAAATGTGTGGGAAAGGATGAATTATTACCTTATAAATAAGCATCAAGTATGAGTGCAGAGGAGACAAAGTGTGGTTTGTCTTGACTGCACATATTAGGTAAACTTGAGGTAGGCTTCCAGGAAGCCATGTTTAATGATTAATTCAGCAAACACCAAGTGTCAAGAAACCAGGCATTATTTAAGAACTGGACTATAGGGTAAAGAATAAAGTAGATTGATCCCTTCTCTGTGGAACTTAAAGCTGAGTAGGATAGAAAGATAATAAAGAAATAAGCAAGTAAAGTGTAAATAAAAAAATAAAGTAGCTTTTAATCAGGGAACTGGCCACAAGTGATGAATTTTTCTTAAGAGTGGTCAACTCTATGAAGACATTGAAGGCCAGGTCTGAAAGACAGGAGTCCACCATGCTGTAAAGAAGAGAGCCCCGGGCAAAGGATGTCACTTATGCAAAAACTCTGACATGTGACAGTTTGAGGCATTCGGGAACAAGAAAGAAGGTGGATGTTGTTATCAAGGTGTGAGGAGGTAGGAGGAATGGCTCCAGGTGAAGGTCCAGAGGGAGAAGGAGATGGACCCCACAGGTCCTTGTGGGCAGAGTAAGGCTTTTCTCTCCCTCATCTTTTTCTGTCTCTTTCTTTTTTCAGAATGTGACTGGAAGTTACTGAGTAGGGTTAAGCAATGGGATGACACGGTTTATTTAGAGTTCTATAGATTTCAAAGAGGGATTGAAAATAACAGAAATTGTCAGACAACAGCAGAGAAAATTCCAGGGCACAAAATAACATACCAAAAGGAAAGAAGTCAAACTTGATAGGTTGGATAGAGTACAAAGCTAAGAAAAAATTAAGGAAGGAGAAAAACGCTCTTAAAAAGCCATTTCAAACCCATTCTAGGAGCGGGGCTTAATTTGAAGAGGATGGCAAGAGATGAGGATCTTTACCATATAATAAGTTTAGAGATGATTAGTCAAGCCTTGATCTAGAGGTCTTCCCTGGTCATGTAAATTTTTAATCTCTTTAACTATTTTATTTCTCATTTAATTGTTACTTACAAACATTCCCAGTGCTGTTTTCTTTTTCTTCTTGCAAAATGTTCAGACTTGGCCCTCAGTAAGCCTGCTCTTTCCACATCATTTTATTTTTTCAGTTCTCCCTAGAAAGTGGATTGTACAAACCAATCTTTCTCTGTCTACCAAATTTCCTGATGATAAGAACACTTAGGCCATTTTAATGGTATAAGGGAGATTCTGGAAAAGTGGGAAAGAAAGAAAACCAGTCTAAGAATTTGTTCTGCCTTCATTAAATTCAACTGACACATAAGTATATGTAACCAATTTGTATATAACATAATTGCCTGTCTTTGTAGGTCAAAATGCCATAACTGCTACTTCAGAGGTTCAACTTGATTATTTTATCTTAGATAATTCTTTAGGAAGAATACCCTGAGTTTATACACTGTTCAAGTAATATGCCTGTAAAATAAATTTACATTTTTTTAAACTCTATTTCTTTTTTTTTTTTTTTAAATATTTATTTATTCTGCTGCATTGGCTCACAGGATCTTCATTCATTGTGTCACGTGGGATCTTTCATTGCAGCACATGTTCTCTAGTTGGGGCACGGGGCGGGCTTACTTGCCTCATGGCATGTGGGATCTTAGTTCCCTGACCAAGTATAGAACAGGCTTTCCCTGCACTTCAAGCCAGATTCTCAACCTCTGGACCACCAGGCAAGTCCCTAAACTCTATTTCTTAAGCAGGATGAAAGAAAGAGAAATTCTCATGATAGTAATTTTTTCCTGTCCTAAAAACACAGAATCTCAGTAAGAGCATTACTGGACTTTAACCACCAGAGGGAACTAAAAAACTATCTTTTGCCTCCTCTTTGAGGTTAGCTTGTCTAATAGTTTCCATTCAAATTTTGAAGAGCTGATCTAATGAAAGAGCTTTCTCTTGATGCCTGAGCTACAATACAACAAAATGCAGAAATGATTTTAATAAATTCTTTCTTTCTGTTTTCCTCCTTATTTGTTGCCTTCCTTAAACAAATTTTAATAAAGATGATATTGGTTCCCTCCGAAGCAACAAGTAAGGAGCATTATTACCATTAAAAAAAGGACCTTTCGCCAGGAAATTCTGAGGAAGGTTAACTAAATCATTATTTTGGATAGATAATCTTGTAAAGTTCCAAGAAACTAAAACCCACAACTTTTTGTTACTTGCTCCATATCATTCCTTCTTTCAACCTACACACCTAGGAAAGTTTGACTTTTTAAAAATAAGAATAATTTTTTTCTCACTGAACCAAAAATATTTGAAAATAATAAAAGAACCTCAGCAATAATTTGAACTTATATTGGATTTAACTCAGCAAACAGCTTCTAGTCTAGTGTTTACCAATTCTGGGATAAACCGTAAAGAACTCAAACCTCCTAAATTGGAAAATGAAATAGCTCAAAATGGATAAATTAAAATTTATACATACTTCCTGATCTTAAAATAGGATTGATATGGTTTACAATAAAAGCATAGATGTGTTTTTTAAGTGAGAGCCCAGTTTTCAGAACTATTCATAATGAGAGAAAGAATATCAATTCCTTAGCACTTCATAGACCATTTCTATATGAATGAAGGAAAGCAGTTTCCCCAGTAATTTCCAAAAGGAGGAAAGAGAAACATATCTTCAAATGAAGTAGGGGAGAGGGAGGCAAGGAATAGAAAAGGTTTCTCTCCTTCTCGTGCCTTTTAGTGCTTGGAAGAAAGGATTGTGAGAAATAAATACAAAGCAATTAATTAGAGCAGGGGTTCCCAAACACTGTTCTGGGCAAAGTTATGCTGTCAAAGAGGATTCTGTAGTCACATGTATTTGGCAGACTCTTATACCACATTCCCTCTGCACTCAGTACCGGAGGTTCTGAGAGGTTCTGGAGTAGGGCATCCTAGTCAGCTATCCTGAAGCCAGAGTTTTCCAAACTCACTTGAAGATATTTTCTGCATAATCGACAGGTACAGGAGTTTTTGTTTGTTTTTTCTGTTAAGATCAACTGGGACACCATTTCCTTTCAACTCCAGAATTATTCTACCTCCACACATGACTGTTAACTCTCTTCCCTGAAGTTCATGGTGGTGGATTCCTCCTGGGTGTTCTGACTGTTCCCATTAATGATGGAGTGTGTGTGTGTGTGTGTGTATGTGTGTGTGTGTGTGCACATGCTCAGTCACTCACTCGTCTGATCCTTTGCAACCCCGTGGACTGTAGCCCACCAGGTTCCTCTGTCCATGGACTTTTCCAGGCAAGCCTACTAGAGTGGGTTGCCATTTCCTTTTCCAGGGTATTTTCCCAACCCAGGGATTGAACTTGCATCTCTCGCGCCTCCTGCATTGGCAGGCTGATTCTTTACCACTGTGCCACTTGGTGTCTCTTCCCAAATCTGTCACTTTAAATTGTGAATAGAGTTTCCTTTGAAGATTTCTGTTGGAGAGTCTGTTCTAGAATTGTTTTGCATGCGGGTCACCCCAGAAACAACAAAACTGGTAGATTTTAATGTGTTTTTTTCTCAGTGCTTTGAGGGTTCTATCAGGGTTCCTAGTCAATGCAAGTGGTGTATGCATCTCAAACTCAAATGAAGGTTGATGTAAGGTTTCAATTCCTTTGTCTCCCAGTGCTAGTGGATAAATTGTTTTCCCCTGTACTCCATTCCACCGAGAGCCTAACGTTTTAGCTTTCCATCATGTGTGGAAGACCTCAACTCCAGGTTTTTTCATATTCAGTTATCAGTCCCCTGCTTACCAGTATTTCCCCTTTTACCTCTTGTTTCTAGGTTTTGTTTTTCACTTTCTGGACCCTAAAGATGCCCCCTACTTTCCTGTAGGAAAAATTAAGCATTTAAAAGTGCAAACCAACCCACTGAGCACTATTATGAAATCTGACAACTCTCTGAGCACCCCAACTTGCGTCCTACAGTGCTCCCTAGCTAGAGCTCTTGGTTAGCTACCCTGGAACAGGAGGGGACATAAATAGTGTCCCTGGCCACAAAGACCACCCCACTTGCCAGCACAGGGCACTTCCCTGAGTGTAGACTGAGCTCTACACAGCTCTTCTAGAAGTCTGAAAAGTTCAAATTGTGTTATACTATTAACCCACCTTCTCTTTAGACCTGCCCAGAATGTCAGAGGGAGCAAGGGAATCAACATTTCTCTGCATTAAATGGTGACTTATAGACAGCTGCCTCCATGTTGGACCCTGCAAATCCATTAATAACCTGGGGGCCTGCCAGAAAGTGTCTTTAAGCTTGGCTCCATACTAGCGTTCGTGACTTTCCTGTAATGAATTGTAGCTTGCCTGAGTCATTAGGAAGATTCTGACCAGGAGTCAGCTGGAATCTGCTGTTTTTGAAAGACTCAATTTATCTATGATTCAGTGCCTAAGCAGTCAGATAGCTTGGAGGGGTCAGCCAGGGAACAGAGCCCATAACCACTGCTTTGATTAAATTACAAGTATGTGCACTGACTTTTAATATATGCATCAGACAAACTTGAGACAAGAAAATAACTGCTTCTCATGCCACCTTTTGCTCTTTTCTTGTTCGGCATTCCAGGAAAGGGTTAATTAAAAGCTTCTGTGTGTTGGCTCTGTGGCTGAATCACAGGCCTAAATTGACAGATTGAAGCTGTACTTCAGCAAGATTACATTATGTCCCTGTTAGAGATAGCAACCAATAAAATCGTATAGTGCTAAGTAATGCTAAGCTATTAACTTAACTATCTTTAACCTTATTATTGTTTTATATTCTGTGTTTTCTGAATGTCTTGTTCTACTTTAAAATATTTTGTTCTTAATGCATATTTTATGTTTTGCTTCCTAGCTTATTAATGTGGCCTTGGGTAAATGCATTTCCATCAGAAACACCACAGCCATTCTGGAAGACTGTGATGGGAGCAGCAAGGTACCCTGAGCTGGGATTTTCTCTCTCATAGTCAGTATAGCTGATGGTGCTAGTGCGGTTGATAGGTGAAGGGTATGACACATTCATCACTCACTTGAGATGTTCATAATTTTCACATTTTTGTATCATCATAAGGTTGGTGACATTTAGGGTCCACCTCTAAATGTAAAAGACAGTGACAGAGGGAATAAAGGTGAATACTGTAGTCAACCCACCATGGACCCAGTTCAGGTTCCACCATTTCTAAAAATGCTTTAACTGCAAATTCCTTAACCCTTAGGTGAATGGCAATGATAAGAGTGCTGGCCCCAAAGCGGTTGTGAGGATGGAATTAGATACTGCATAGGAAGCCTAAAAAGTAATATCGAACATTTGGTGCTCTATAAATATTCACTGCTATAGTAATAAAGGCAAAAATGAGAAAAGTAACACATTACATATAAAGACAAAATGATGAAAATGAAGTCATACAAATTCTTAAATAATTAATCTAAGGGAACAGTTTTATTCTCTGATTCCACCCGTCCTTCCCCCTCCCCCACCCAGGTACTCCTAAGGGAGTAATGCAGATAGCACAATTCATGATCCATGGTGGAAAACTCTACAGCCAAACTTCAACAAATCTGAGCACAGTATTTAGGGGAGGGAGTAGGGCCTGGGAAAACAGAGCCATGACTCTGTAGAGCTCTGAGCGATGGCACCTCCCTCTCCAACATATGCTCCTACCCACTCTCATTCTGTTGGGACAGTTATCAGCTTGGCTGCTATATTGGACTCACAGGAACATGGATTCAGGAGTCGAACTCAGCCCCCCAAAACTGCAGATAACTCTCTGCCAGGGAGATTATTTTGTGATGGGATTCTAGGCTTGCTTTGCTTTGTGTTAGAGATATTACTTTATTTTCAAGCACATCCCATGTTTACTTCTTAATTCAAAGCTGCTGCTAGGAAAATAAAAAGATATTTTTGTCATCTCTGTTGATATAATTCAGCCATGGGTTGTAAACTTGAAGTTAATGGAATTCTTTCTTAATTAGGAAAGAGGAGACAGAAGGGAAGAGAAAAGTGTCAAAAATTAATTGAAAGAAATAATTTTCATGCATTAACAATTCAAAGAGGAAATCAAGTCATACAGTATAAGACAAAACCATAAATAGTCCAAATTATATGAAAGTAAAATATTAAATAATATGCAATCCTTCAAAACTCATCATTATAGTGACTTTCTGTGTCTGATTAATCAGTATTTTACCTGAAAACCCAAATTCTCAATAACCATTGAATCTCTCAAAGGGATGCTAGGAGACAAAAAGAATGAATCATGTAGCCCCTGCGTTCCACAAACGTCCATCTTCATTTTTTGTCTTGTCACTCATTTTTAGCTTCTGCTTCTTTAGGTTGGTTTGAGTAATTAAACGTAAAGGAACATGGAGGAAGTTGACTTATTTTTGACAGAATTAACGAGGCTTAATATTAAGCTGGTGACTGTAGGATTCATCCGTAAAGTCTCAAAGGGAATAAAACCCTAGGGCTGAACCATCAAGCCCTAGCTTCACCTTACTTAAGATGTCTCCTTAGTTACTAACTTTTCAATCAGTTAAAATGTCCCTTTTCAATCAGTTAAAATGTCCCTTTTCAATAAATCCTTGTATTATGACACATATCCGTGCTTCTCTAATTCAATGTGCATTCAGGTCATCTGGGGAGTTTGTTACAATGCAGATTCTGATTCAGTACATCCATAGTGGGGACTGAAATTCAGCCTTTCTTAATAGCTCCCAGGAGATGCTAATGTTAATCCAGGGACTACTGTTTGAATGGAAAGTTCTAACACAACAATATATTTGATAATCTAAGTTAAATCCCAATCACATTACAATGATGTGATTTTTTATTTTTTATCTAATGATGCATTAGATAAAAGTATTTAAGTAGATTTTAGCAGCAGTTTTTTTTTTTTTAATATATTTACATTGGTGTAAAACAACCTCAGATATGCAGATGACACCACCCTTATGGCAGAAAGTGAAGAAGACTAAAGAGACTTGATGAAAGTGAAAGAAGAGAGTGAAAAATTTGATGTAAAGCTCAACATTCAGAAAACTAAGATAATGGCATCCGGTCCCATCACTTCATGGGAAATAGATGGGGAAACAGTGGAAACAGTGGCTGACTTTATTTTGGGGGGCTCCAAAATCACTGCAGATGGTGATTGCAGCCATGAAATTAAGACGCTTACTCCTTGGAAGGCAAGTTATGACCAATCTAGACAGCATATTAAATATCAGAGACATTAATTTGCCAACAAAGGTCCATCTAGTCAAGGCTATGGTTTTTTCCAGTAGTCATGGATGGATGTGAGAGTTGGACTATAAAGAAAGCTGAGCACAGAAGAATTGATGCTTTTGAACTGTGATGTTGGAGAAGACTCTTGAGAGTCCCTTGAACTGCAAGGAGATCCAACCAGTCCATCCTAAAGGAGATCAATCCTGGGTGTTCACTGGAATGACTGATGTTGAAGCTGAAACTCCAATACTTTGGCCACCTGATGCAAAGAGCTGACCCATTTGAAAAGACCCTGATGCTGGGAAAGATTGAGGGCAGGAGGAGAAGAGGACGACAGAGGATGAGATGGTTAGATGGCATCAGTGACTCAATGGACATGAGTTTGGGTAAACTCCGGGAGTTGGTGACGGACAGGGAGGCCTGGTGTGCTGTGGTTCATGGGGTCACAAAGAATCAGACATGACTGAAAGACTGAACTGAACTGAACTGAACTGAAAACAACAAATTTCCTACAGACCCAGTGCTTTAGAGTATATTGACCAGGCAGATAGAACTAAGTTTAAAAAAATTTATAAAAACTGAAAACAGAGGCCCATTACCTAAAACAGTATTTATTTTAGACACTGGCAACTCCCCCAAACTGGACTTCTCCAAGAGGAGTTGCTGTGAACTGGGAGATATTAATACAGTGTAACCTGGTGATTCTTTGTGCTATCAGGGAAGAAAGTTTTTTAACCTTTCCTATAATAGAACACAGCCTCTAGGAGTCCAGTTTTCTAGTATTAAAAAAATAAGCATAGTAATTCCCATCGAAATCATTTAGGACTGGGACTTGGCTCTCGCTCTAGCCCCAGTGGCTAGGGGCCTGAATCGTGTGGTGGTTTGAATGCTCCAATACTTCAAGTACCAGGTTAGCCCGGCACTCAGAACACCTAAAAGGGCACCCATTCACAGACATGTACTAATTGTACTAAATGGTTGTTTTAATATTGCAGCTAACATTTATTGATGTCTTACTGTGTGCTCAACACTTGTCAGACATTACTCCATGTTTTTGAGATAGACACTATTGCTATCCAACTTAAAAATTATAAAAATGAGATTAGACAGGGTAAATAATACGGCCATACTATCAGAATTGAAAGTGGCAATACCAGGATTTTGAACATAAAACATCTGTCTAGAGTGCCTATATTCCTAAGCATTACTAATAAAAATGTTTAGCAAAGAGTTTGCTGCCAAAAGTCACCTTCTCCTTCTACATTTTCCCCACAGCTTCAACAATTTAATTATACCTGGTTAAGGCTTATTAAACACGGAGCGTGGTGCTTAGCTCCTGCGCCTGATAACGGGGCCCTGAGGCTGCACCTTTGTGATAACAGAAACAAAGGGCTAAGATGGCTGCATAAATCAACATCAGACTTCCGTCCAGAACTGGTAAGCAAAATATTTGTACCTCTTCCTTACCACAAATCCAACTTTCCATTAAATGCAACATAAACCCTCCTTGTCAGCTTCCTCAATCAAAGGCTTTAAATGTGTAAGGGACAATAGAGGCAGTGTAAAAGTTCTTACACAGAGATAAACAGATTTTTTTTAATAAATTGTTGAGTCCTTTTTCATTCTTTTAACAAAATTTACTTCAAATCAGTTCTTTTGGTTATATTGCTGTTATCATCTTTGTTTCTGAAAGTCATTTGCTTCTGAAAGTCAGTTAACAATGCCAAAAGTCAGGCTTATGGCTTAGAACTGGTTCTCATTGATTACCAGAAAAGTTTATAGGGAGAGTAGATGGGGAAAGCAAGAAGCAGTGTGCTTCCCCAAGCCCTGTGCTTGGTACGAATCTGTCTCCACTTCCTGCCTCCTTTCCTTAGAAAGATTTTCTCATGTCCTCTGGTTCCTGAAGACTTAGGCTCTGGAGAGTCTAAGGGTGCTGGAGTCTCTGGGTGCTGGAGTCAGTTCCAGCCAGCTTGCAGGTGCTGACCATGTGCAGTTCTTGCCAACTTCACATTCAGTGATGTCACATTGGTGATTTGAAACCAACCATGACAGGAGTATTTACAAAACCCCATGCTAGATATCAAGGGATGGTTTTCCAAAGGTCAAGTTGTGGATATTAACCAGAAGAACCATGCCCTATCCTATTTACTGTCCAAGTACTCTGCTTTCCCCAATCATATTTTAGTAAGATACAAAGTCATAAGTTTTCTGTAGGATCTTGGAATGGCAGGAATAATTTCAGGCCTGCCTTCTCAAATTTTCTTCTGTCTCACTAGCTGGTAGCCACCAAACCCACTGAATGAGTAATGAGTATGTGGAGACCATCATTTTGCTCAAGGGTGACCCCAAAGTATGCACACTTTTTTCCTTGGAGTGTCTCCATTCTTTCTGATGTCACAGCCAGTGATTGATCTCTTCATGACATTTTTTTTTTTCCTGCTCAGGATAAAACTAGGACCTAAGCATAACACTCTCCAATCTTCCTTTCCATACCTCATCTCTATTATATTTGAGGGATCTCTTTACAACCCACCAGCAGATTATTATAGCTAATCCAGATCTTCTCAGTGTCATCTTTCTTACAAATCCTTGAGGTTACTCAAGTATCATATTTCTAAAATTCTAAAAGGGTGACAATATTCTGGTTTGTTTTTTTTTTTTTTTGGCTGTGCTGGGTCTTCTCTGCTACAGGGGCTCTGTCTAGTTGCAGCAAGCAGGGGCCACTCTCTAGTTGCTGTGCATGGGCTTCTATTTGAGGTGGCTTCTCTCGTTGGGGAGCACAGGCTCTAGAGAATACAGGCTTCAGCAGCTGTGGCACCTGGGCCTAGTTGCCCCACGGCATGTTGAATCTTCCCAGATCAAGGATCGAACCTGTGTCTCTTGCAATGGCAGGCAGATTCTCAGCCACTGCACCACCAGGGAAGTCCAAGGGTGACAATATTTTTATAAGAGTATCTTTAAAATAAATTATTATAAAGTCACCTCTATTTGATAAAATTGTAGAGCATTTCAAAACCTGTGTGTGTGTGTTAGTGGTTCAGCTGTATTTAGCTCTCTGCAACCCCATGGACTGTAGCCTACCAGGCTCCTCTATCTATAGAATTCTCCAGGCAAGAATGATTAAAATGACCTTTGTCACAGTTATGGATATTTTAGAGGATTGATAGGTGAAAAAGTTATAAACTCATGAGCAAGTTGTAAGTAGGTTATTGACAATTTCTAGGATGTTTAATAAGTATTAATCAATAATAGAACCCTCTGAAATAACTGTGACTTCTAGTTATACCTGGACTTTCTAGATATTGGGCATTATGTTCTATCAGAAAACATGGTAAGGGACTCATAAATAAAATACATCATTTCTAACACATTTTATTCTAAATTTGCTTTCTAAAGCATGAACTTAAGAAATTAACTAACTTATTTTTTGTGACGGTGTTTTTTTTTCTTTACTACCATCAGTGAGGGAGCCAGTCACCATATACAGTAAACACCATCTGGAGTTATTTCCTTTAAATAATACAGTTATCAACCGTATCATCAGAAAATTCATCTTTTGCTTCATGAAGAACTAAAAGTTATAGCTTGGAGAGTGTGAGAATTTAGTTTAAGATAAAGACAAATTTAATACTGTCTAAAGTCTGGTTTATGTTATTAATTTATTTTGGGGGAATTCCTAAAAAATAAAAAATGAAATCATCTTTTTTTTTAAATTGGTTTTGATTTCTTTACATCACAGTTGTTAAATTCAGCCTGTGGCTAATTACCAGATCCCCTTTCTCTCCAGGTGAACCACATTGTTTTTGGAAACTATCATCAGTTGTTATGCTTGGAAGGAAATATTACTCAGAAGACCCTGAAAGTTGCTCCTTGTGACCCAGCAAAGCCATATCAAAAGTGGAAATTTGAAAACTATTATGAAGACTGAAGAGGAACTGATATTTTTATCTAGTAAACCCACTAGACACTGTGAATTTGACAGTGAACTTGGTGACTACATTTCCCCATGCTAGTTTAAAATTTTCAAAATTAATAACATTTAAATGGAAGATTTTTTTTTTTAAATCACAATATTTGAGATACCAAAATTTCACTCAGGGAGACAATCCAGCATTGGATTGGAGTCCTTCTTCAGCACTAGGTAGCCTTTTGAATTGTCTGCTTTCCACTCTGCTGGAACAAAGCCTGCTATTTGTCCCATACCATCTAACAGGTAACCAGAAATGAAGACAGAAGAACTTGGAGAAGCACAATGATATTCAGTGATGGCTGATCATAACCAGCTCTTTTGACCCACAAGTAGGTATAATTATTGAGAACCTGGTCCTTTAATTGCCAGGTTTTCATCAAAAATAAAAGACATAGAAGGAAAGAAAGAAAGAAAGAAAATTACTTTGAGTTCCTAGACTAAAAGACCTCAGAAACACACAGCTTTCACCTTGGTGAAATCTCTCCCAACCACATGCTAGTTTACCTAATGTTAGAAATAATATTAGTATAATACTCCTTGACGGCAGGGTTTTGATCTAGATGACTGTATAATGTTTTTCCTACTCTGAGTCAGTGGAAAATTTCTAAGTGAGGAAGTCAAATGCTTATTCAATTCTAGACATGGATGTTGCCATTCATTTTGTGCTTTTAAACTACACTTTAAAAAATGGCCATACAAGTAGCTCCTAGATTTATGTGGATATTAAACAAGAAAAAAAAATGCAAAGAAATACAGACTGCATCACTTCACACAGTAGTAACTGAAAATAAATTTCATCATTGAACCTACTCTAATATAGAACCAAATAAGAGGAGTTAAAATGAATAAAGCAGAAATAAAGCACTGGAAAATATTAAAGTTCTCTTATGTGAAAATACTACTTTGTATTCAGTAGCATTCACACAGATGAAGTATGCTAAAATAGGCTTTACAAGATTTCAAGGTAGAAATAAAGCGAAGGAGACGTAAAGAAAGGGGAAGAGAATGATAACCACAGTGAGGAAGAGAGTTAAGAGAAAAATGTCCTAGATTTAGCCAAAATAAGGAAGGGAATTTTGCACCTCTGTGGGGGAGAAAAGAATAAATGCCTAGATGTAGACCTAAAGATAACACTGATAAATTTGGGGAAAATTCCAATATTACTTTGATCCAAATTGAGTACCTAATTTTAGGTATGCCAAAACTTAGTCATACTGAAAGATATCTTAGAAATCCTGATAACCTTTGCATTCATTTGGTAGAAATTTGATGTCCAGCAGACACATTACCTATCTAAAAATCCCAGGCAAGTTAGTAAGAGAATCAGGATTAGAATTAGAATCAGGATTAGATTAGATTAGATCAGATCTCTGGAATCAGGATCTCCAGAGATGGAACCACCAGCCTAAACAAAATTGCTCCATGACACTCTTAAAAAAAAAAACCAAAAAACACATAAATGTTTTGATTGAGGTTGGGTGTCTGGAGAATAATCATGCTACATGCTTGTTAATATTTTAAAAAGAAAGAAAGAAAGAAAGAAATCTGTGCAATTGAGTTGACAGTGAAACTTGGTGTCCTTAGTTCTGTTTTCCTATTAAAACTTTAATTCCCAATTAATTATACAAAAACAGAGCAATAACTAAGAACTGGAAGGGGAAATAGGTTTGAACATTTGTATCATATTTAATATATTTTATGTAAATAATTGATATTGCAGATGAGATGAAAAAATGACTAGAAAATGAGATAATTCTTTTCAAAGCATCGCCATGTGGGGGATACAACACAAGTTAGTTGCCAGAGGACTAATTGAGTTGCTGACCAAACTCAATGTGCTGGATGCCCTATGCAATTCTTTGTGTAAGTGAAAAAACATCAAAAGGTTTTCTGCCAGTCTAATGAATCTCTTTTTATTCAAAAACAGTTTCCACCAAAATTGTCAACTCTGTTCAGAAAAAGATGAGTTATATTTTGGATAGGTTTCTCTTTGGGTGTACCAGCTGAAGAAATTCAATTGTTTTTGCTCAAAAGAACCCTCTGTGACCTGTTCAGTGTATTCTCCTCGTGGCTTTACCTTGACATACTTGTTATGTGAAGTTATATTGTCAGTATAACAAAGAACTATTTTCATACATCACATGTTTGTTCTTAGGTGGAATTTTTAAAACAGTTTTTACCATGTTTTTCCCACTTACTCTAAGAAGCAAGGCAATAATCAGTAGTTAGAAATCATATGAACCTCACCTTAAGAGTATCGACTAATTGTGAAATCTACTACCAACATTCTTTTAAGCAATGTGCTCCAAGTTTTTGTTTTCTGAAGACTGTAATAAAGGTATAAATGCCTCTAGATATTCTGGTACTTCTAATGATAAACCCTTGGATGAGACACATTAGGGTCTTAATCAGCCCTGAGTTCTTCAATAAGGGGTTCTGTTCTTAGGGCCCTTATAGAGTTTTCCCTGGATTAGCTTAAGCTATTACCTTTTCCTCGAAAAATATATACACATCTTATTACCTTGAACATAAGCATAGTTGATAGTATTTTAAGGGTCTTATTGGCTCAAAAACTAACTTACCAAACCATTTGAGTACTTCTGAGCCTTCCAGTTTGCACAATTCTTTTCTCATTTTCAACCGCTACTCTCTTGAAAGATGACACAGCTGTTGTTGGTACAACTGTGTTTTATCACCAGCATCAAATTTGCTCAGTTCTACTTGCTGATATTAAATCAACTGTCATTCACAAGGGCAAAAACCACCATGCACCATGATCATAATGTATCATTAGCTTTCAACTAATTTGGAAATACTTTCTTGAATATTAAAGCATCTTTCCTTTAGAATCACCTTAGAGATTGTAAAGGGGTAAATATACTAGTTATAGTGTAGGAATTCAATTTTACCAGTCAATCTGGATTTTATGGATGGCTTAGAATGATTTTCAAGAGGCTGTCATGCAAGAGAAGGGAGTTGAGGTACACCAGATGGTACCGTTTTTGTTTTAATATCTTTATCTTCCACATTCAAACATAGAAAACAAATTCCATCTCAAAAGAAGTCCACGGTCTTGAATAAAAACAAGGAAATTACAAGAAATAAAGAGAAAAGAGATGGGACTAATTACCTTGAATACCTACTATGTGCTAGGCATTGTTTGTGCCTCATCTCAGTCTGTGCACAACTCAATGAGGTGAGTCTCCTTCTCCTCATTATACAGATGAGGATGATTGAGAGGGATTGTCTAAAGTCATCACACTAGAAAGAGTTAAAATCCAGATTCCATTCTATCAGGCTCAAAAAAAAAAAAGAAAAAAGTGAGCCTCTTTCACTAAATGATGCTTCTATGATTTTTTTTTATTCTTTTTCCTCTTCTTCCTCTTCCTCTACCTCTTCTTTTTCTTCTTCTTCTTCTCCTTTTCCTTCTATGTCTTCTTTTATAAGTAGGGCAGGCAACTCAGGTAGGCTCAGTTAAAATCCTTTGGTACAGAGTCACATCTTTTTGGTGATGAGACGTGATTTTTGGTGATTTGATGTGACATTTTGGTCAAGTCTTTTCGGATGTTGAACCAACAGGGAACAGAGGCTTCACTCCTTTGTGTTAAACAACGGAAGTGTAGGCTTAAGGATAGTTATACACTTTACAGTGGTCTTATCTCCTGACTTCATGCAGGACATATTCCTTTCCATTTCCTAGAACAAGTGTGAGAGAGAGGAATGGACATAGAGAGATTGCTTCTCTGTAAATGATACTACCAACTCTTTGTTCCCTTTACCATTAATCAAAGCTGACAGATTGTTTAATTTGAGAGCGGGTGGGAAGTGGAAAATCAGAGTCCTTAAATTTAAAACAAAAACCAAGTCTTGTAACTTTCACTTCACTGTGTAGATTGTTACCAAAGTGCTTTTACAAAAACCTTTGCATAAGTGTATTCAACAATTGCTAGAAGCCAAGATACCTTGACATGAGAAAAGGAACACTAGCCACAGCTTTATACATAAATATCTATTTTGGACAAATAGTCATTCTACAGACAGCTTTGAATAAGTCATGTAAAAGAGTATCTCCAATCCTTTGGTCACCTGATGCAAAGAGCCAACTCATTGGATAAGACCCTGAAGCTAGGAAAGATTGAAGGCAAGAGGAGAAGAGGATGACAGAGGATGAGATGGTTGGATGGCATTATCAACTCACTGGACATGAATCTGAGTAAACTTAGGGAGATAGTGAAGGACAGGGGAGCCTGGCAGGCTGTAGTCTATGGGGTTATAAAGAACCAAACATGACTTAACAACTGAACAACATCAAAAATATTATCTACTCCTGGTGAAGTTTAATGGATGGAATTTCAAGTGTTTCTGGTATTTGCGTCTAAAATGAAGGGGAAAAAAATACCACCACACTAAGTAGATTTAATGCCCCTGCTTTCAACCTAATGAGTCAACTGGTAGTTATCACTATGATTGGGGTCTTTTTGTAAGTTTATGTGAATCTTTGCTTTCCAAAAACACAAAATTCTTATTTTCCAACAAATAGAGCAACTTCTAATATACTGAGTTTCTAATGACAACATTTGCCATCAAATAAGTAGTAATAAATAACTTCTTTGAAAGCGAGGCTTTCCTATTTTGTTATTGACGGATGGATTTTTCCCAGTCAAGGATATTGGTCCTAAATATCTATATAAAGTTTTTATATTAGATACTGAAACTAAAGATTTATATAAATGGCTGTATGCTTCTATATTTTATACTTTGAATTGACAGAAAGTAAAACCAAGAGTTTGTACAAACAAAGAAAAATTAAGAAATGTTTTGGGCTATTTTTAAGTCTCTTTTAAGTACACAGCTTTGCCTGCATCTGGCTTTCTGTACAAAAGAATCTCATGTGGACTTTTACTCTGGGTATTATTTTCCAGATGTGAGAAGAATAACCAAACTAAATTATCAGGATC